TATGTCATTTCTTATCATTTCAAAATAATTAAATATCTAAGACTAAACTTAACAAAGGAGATAAAGGATGTGTACAATAAAGACACTGTAAAAAGAAAGAAGACAGACAAAAAAATGGAAATATATTCCCTGCTCATGTATTAGTACGGGAAGGATAGAAACCAACATTTTTGGGGTATGGGCCTGATAGCTTATTTAGCTGACCTTACTATAGAATATGGTGTAATATGGTAACATGAAGATTTTTGAAGTCTTAGGAACAGGTTCGATTCCTGAAATTCTAGAAATAAGAGGGCTTGAACCTCTGTAATTTACTCTATCAAAGTAACTCTTTTATCAGACATATTTCTATATTTGGGGTGGGATTCCTGATGTAAATACTAGAAGTGACATATGTCATATACATAGGGCTAGTGTTAGTGGTAAGAAGTTTTTTCATAATAAATGCATTTGTTGATCATATCGGAATCGAGGGTATGAGGCTCGTACTCATAGAAATGAGATTGTTAAGAATATAGTTTTGATTATAAAGTTAATGGAGTATAATTCTGGTATAATAGGGCTGTGGAATGCACCTAGGAATAGAATTGTAGTTAGGACATTTATTATAATAATGTTTGCGTATTCTGCTAGGAAAAATAGGGCAAATGGACCTGCTGCATATTCTACATTAAATCCTGAAACTAGTTTGGATTCCTCCTCTGTTAGAAAAATTTAATTGATTATATCATTTAATAAAAGTAAGAATTGGTAAAATGGCTATCTTATCCAGACAATATACCTGTTCAATACAATCACTATCAGTAATATAGTGCCAAACATCAGTAATATAGGACAAATATTACTGAAATTTATATGGCCCACCAAAGATCCCACATAAAACATTCCTGACAAGAAAGAAGAACTCACACTCCCAGACTTCAAACTACACTACAAAGTCATTGTAATCAAACAGTATTATCTTTAGAATAAAAGTAAAAATATTTAGAATAAAAATCTATAGTACTTAGAAAAAATATGCATTCAGTGGAATAGAATTAAGGATACAGAAATAAATCCACACTTACATAGACAGTTAATGTATCACAACAGAGCCAATAGTCTATGATGGAGAAAGGACAGTCTCTTCAACAAATTGTACTGGGAAAACTGGCCAATCACATGGAAAAGAAATACAATCCAAACTATCTCATACAATATACAAAAATTAACCATAATGGTTAAAAGACTTGAATATAATACCTGAAACCATAGAAGTATATAAAAGAAAACATAGGAAAATGATCTGAGACATTAGATTCAGGATGGCTTTGGTAATTCAACTTCCGAGGACAGGAAAACAAAAGTAAAAGTAAACAAATGGGATCATTGAACTAAATAACTTCTGCAAAGCAAAAGACACTGTCATTAAAGCAAAAAGACAGAAAATATTTGCCCTCATACATCTGACAACAGGCTAATATATAAGGTCTACAATGACGGCATACAGTAAAAAGAAAATAAATACCCATATCCAAAAAATGTGCAGAACAGCTAAATAAACACTTTGCCAAAGAAGACAGACAGATGACCAACAGGCACTTGAAAAGACACTCATTAGCATAGAAGTGAAAATCAAAATCACAGAGCCCATATCAAGATAGACAAGAGCCAACCAATAAATGTGTGGAGAACAAAGAACTCTCATGCACTGTTGGTGTGAATGTAGACTGATCTATCTCCTCTGTAAAACAGTATGGAATTCTCAAAATACTGAAAATGGATTTATCATATGACCTAGAAATTCACTATTAGGTGTATTTGAAAAGTGCAAAAACACTAATTTGAAGGGATATATGCACTTCTCTGTTCATTGCAGCAATCTTTACAATAGCCAAATTATGGAAACAATCTAAATATCCAACGAATATGGGATGTATGTGCACAATGGAATATTACACATCTATTGATTTTTAAAAAGATTAAATCCTGTGAAATTGGAGGGGATTATGCTAAGCAAAATAAATCAGAGTGAGAAAGATACATACCAGATGATTTCATTCATGTGTGAGATATAGGGAAACTACAAGAGTAAATAATTGAGACAAATCCTAAAAATCTGACTGTGGAATTGAAGTTGCCAGAAGGGAAGGAGCCTTTCCATGGTTTATGGAGGAGGACTGTGGGTACCTTGGTCGTGGGTGTGGTGTGGTAACATATAGCTGAAGAGATGCATAAACCTGTAACTGTGAATCCTATACAGGGCTTAATGTTACCTCAAAAAATGCAAAAAGATGATGCTTTTCTGTCCTCCTCTCCCATACTTTGTATATTATTTTGAATGTTGTTAGATCAGCACCTGCCCGATACAAGCAGTTATCAAGTTATAATTTAGGTAATGTACTTTACAGCCAGCATTTTACCATTTATGGCATTGAGTATGGTATTTTTTTCACTAAAAATATTAATCATAAAGATAAAAAATCCTTTAGATTATCCTTGGGTAATTTGGATTTTATTGAACTATCTATAATTCATAGTTATACTTCATTTTATTTAATTTTAAATTATCAGTGTATACTAATTTTATAATTAATTTTATAACTGTAAAAAAGATTTTTCAACTGCTGTCCAAACTGAATGAACAATGAAACTCAACCTTGTTGGGGGAGACAAATTCCTATTCATCATGTCAGGAATTATAATTGTCTGCTTAGCCCAAAATGTAGGAAAAGATGAAGATTTATATATAGATGATGTACTATAGAATTAAATTTTAAGGAAAGCTTCCTTAATTACTCAGAGGGTCTACAGCAGAATGTAGTTAGGTCAAAAGTTAAAAATGTAATATAGGGCCCTCCCAGTGGTGCAACAGGTTAGGACACAGAACTGCCAGTTGGCTGCAACTGCCTCAGTGCGAGTTCCATCCCCACCCAGGATGTGACCCACATGGTGTGCAGACCACTCCTGTCTCTCCTGCTGCTCCCCTCAACAATGTACTTTGTCAATCTGCCTGTTCTGCTCCCCACTCTCTCTCTGGTAAGGACTCTCACTGCCCCTGCACCTCTGGCTTGTACCCCAGTTCTGCATGCATAAATAAATAAATCTTCCTAAAAAAAAGTAATACATCTACCAGAAGTTTTCATTTTATTTGAATACCTGAAGGAAGCCTTTTATAGTCAAAAGCTTGGATATATTACATAGTAGAGTACAGAATTTCCAGTAGTAAAAACCAGAGACTTAAAAAGAAATGAGCATTGCGAGAACAGCTTTTTTTTTATTATTATTACAAAAGTTTATTTTTACATCATTTTGTACATTTTTTTCCATCTCAATTGTAATCCCCGCAGGTTTCCATCACCAAGTCACCCGTGTGCCATCACCATAATCCTGTGCATTTTCCTCCCCCCTCCCCCTGTTTTTGATCCCATTCCCTACTCCACCCCCACAAAATGTCTCTGGTATATGGTTGTTCATTATTTTTGTTATTTTCTCGCCTGGTCCATTATACTCCTGCTATGAGTGAAAGAACCTTCCTAGATTCCTCTTAGCAGTGCAAGTTCACGCTCCTCTTGTATCAGAAATATTTCAGTGGAAGATTTGAGATGGGGTTCATCAGGGATTTAATTTCAAACAAGATACATTTTTGATGGTTGAATAGTGTCTTAGGTCATGTTCCCAAGGAAGTGGATTTCGGTACAGAGATTCTCACTTAGGGTTATGGGAATTTTTTCCAAGAAACAAGACTGAACAAAGGGAGGATTGAGCTGTGATTCAGAGCCTCAGTTGTTGCCAGGGGGATCTTTGGCACTTCACTGGCCAGAACACTTGATAGGTGTTCTGAATTGAGATATTGGGGCTGAGCCATATCTCAGTCACTGAGTGGAGCTGTGTCTGGGAGTATATATAATGTTAGAAATTTCTAGACCTGGACTTCACTGTGAGCTCTCATTTGGTAACCTCCTGGCCACTGGGAAATGAAGATCTTAACCTTGGTGGAAGAACTTGAGCCTTGGAGGAAGTACATGACACAATCTGATATATACAGTACAAGTTTACCAGCTTCTTGAAAAGAATGGTCTACAACAAATGAGTTCTAAGTTCCTTTAACTATAAATGATTCTCAAATTTAATGGAATTGCTATTTCCAAAAAGTGAAGGGGAGTTGTGCTTGACTTCGCATTGGGAAAATTACTATCCTCATGTTACTTTTCAGAGAAGATTAGTAATATGTGCATTCCTAAATTAGACTGTAGATTTTCATCACATACAAAAGTTTGTTGAACCTTTTTGTCCCTTGATAAAGTCATAGAGATAAAAGTTTTATTCATAAATTATTTAGATAAAGTAAAATCTAGGTTGTCTGCTTCTTAAATATGAGATTAATCAAATTTAGAAATAAAAAAAAACTATTACTGTGTGTGTTACAAAAATTTTGTATTTATATTTGGGTGTATGATTTCATATGTAGTTTAAATAAGGCAGTACATGACTTTTTAGCTGTAATCAAGACCCAAGGCCAAGTATAGTATCACAAAGCCATCCAGCAGACCTTTGTTTTTGTGACTCAACCCTAATCAGGCCTCAGGAGTCAAATTCCTCATGTAAGTCACTAAGAGATATTTAATAAATAGCATGCTGGTATAGTAGCCATTTCCTCAAATCTTAAAAGTTATGAGTCCATTACTTACTGTGTGAAGTTACCTTTATTCTCAAGGAGAATGTGATTTAGCATTCTTATGTAAGACCCACAAATCAATATTTCTTCTTTAGTTTGTGTAATTTTCATGGCTATGATATCTTTTTAAGAATATGGTTTCTGAGGTTGACATAAGGCATTTTCTCAAATCATGTTTTCATGTTTGATGGAGTCCATGTTATTCTTTACTGGAAATTAATTTTCTACATTGCAAAAATGGTTCCTGTTACACAAGAATAAATGTGTGTTTTGATGTTTGAACATGGGACAGAGAGATTATTTTCCTAATGCCAGCATGACATGACTTGCTCTCTTTCCTCAGGCCCTGTCACCATACAGCCATCACCCTGTAAGGCTGAACAATTTTCATGTATCTATACACCCCAGTGTGTGCCTCTCTCAAGGAAATGTAATGGACAGGAAGATTGCACAGATGGATCTGATGAAATGGATTGTCCACTCCCCCACCCCCCTCAGCTCTGTTATGAAATGGAGTTCCTCTGCTCTCCCAATGAGTGTATCCCATCCCTCCTGCTGTGTGATGGAGTGCCTGACTGTCACTTTAATGAAGATGAATCCAGCTGCCGTGAGTTATTTTCACTAACTCAGTTTGCCAGAAAAGAAATGCTGCTTGGATATGATAGAGAAAGCTTGACAGATAAAACAAAGTTCTCTGGAGTCTTACCATGATCATATAATCAATAACATAGTTGCTTGTGTTATGTTGCTAAACAAAGCATGTAACTCTGGCTTAGAATTTCTGAGAACATGCTGTTTGTAGTTACTCTAATCTCTTAAACCCATTTGTTTTTCTTTTTTGTTTAGCTCTGGGTCATTCATTTAGGACATGTTCTATGAGCTTGTTATCTTTTCAATTGATGGTCTTAGAAATGGATTGAAGGTGTGTGCTTCTGTCTTCCCACCCTAAATATTCATGAAGATGGATCAAGTAAAGGCATATGGGCAAATACAAATTTTAGTGACTGACTATATGTAGTTAGGGTTTGGATGTGGACAGCAAGCTAGGCAGAGTTATGTTTTGAAGAGTATATGGGATAGTAAATAATAAGGACATGGGTTTGAATGTCTTCTGTGTCACTTCTACTACCTGTGCAATCTTGTTAAAATTATTTGAGTCAGTTTCATCAATCAAGTAATACCCAACTTACAGGACCATGAGAATTTAAGCCAATGCATTTATAACACTAGCGCTGCTTTCAGCAGCTTCAATTTTTATTATAATCTGCCCATATCAGATAGGAAGGGAAAAGTGTTCATTAAGAAATAATTATACAAATGCTTAAGGTGAGCAAATAATCATGGCAAAGGCAAAGAACCACTGATATTTAATTATTTGTTTGCTTAATTTTGCATTGCACTATATATATCTTTTAGTAAGGACTGAAATTATAGAACTCTATAACTCATATGTTATTAATTTCATGTGTCGTGTTTTTTTAAATAATAATAAAAAATTGGAATGTAACTGTAAGGGGAATATTGAGAGATATAAAGGTGTTTTTAATTCCCTGATTAGTGTTGACATCCAGATTTATAATAACTATTGGAACAGAGATAAAGATGATTGAAAGAAAAAGGTGACAGCTTTTATTTTTTTCTAAGATTTATTTATTTATGCATAAGAACTGGCCAGAGATGCAGGGGCAGTGAGAGGCTTCACCAGAGACAGTGTAGGGAGCAGAACAGGCAGATCAACTGAATACACTGCTGAGGGGAGCAGTGGGCAAGGCAGGAGAGGTCTGCCACGTATTGTGGGTCACCTCCCTGCCTGAGGATCAAACTTGTGCTGAGGTTGCCACCACTGATTCATAGTGCTGTGCTTTAACCCATTTCACCACCAGGGAGGGCCCTGGCTTCACACAGAGGCTGTGGCTAGCTTGCAGTACTGCACTTTAACCTGTTGCACCAACAGGGATGACCCAAGACAGATTTTAGATGCTTCCAGGTCTTACATAAGTGAACTTTTCCTAGAGATTGGTTTTCTGTCTACTTATTTCCTACAGGTATAGGCTTCTGTCACAAAACCAGATAGTCAGGTTTTATATTTTCTTAAAAGCAAGGTGAAGAAGTGAAAATGATGAAAAAGGATATGCCAAATTACTTATCCCTGTTCCCATAAGGTTTCCAATGTAATTTGACAGATGAAATCATCTTAAGTTCAATATAATCACATAATATTTGATTTAATATAAGAATGCTATTTAAAGAGCAACTTATGAAACATCATATCTTTATACCTTTAGATATTCAGTGGAAAATTGATACTTGATGATGTAGTCATGTATAAAGTTCTGTTTCTAACTGAAAATCAAATTAGGTATAGGCTGGTATCATGTGAGAATTACTTCTATCCATTTCAAAAATATTTGAGTTATGATTCTGTAGGGAAAACTGTGGACATAAATGAACATAAATGCTAGAGCAAAATTACTGAATAAAAGCACCCACTGAAGATAACTTACCCAATAAGTGAAAGCAAAGTTTTGTTTTTGTTTACACAACTTGTTTATTAGTACACAGAATGCACTGGAGTAAGGAGGAAGACTGGTTAGAAGATGTTGTACTTGAAGTACAAAGGACTTGATTAGATAGTAGCATATAAGGTAAAAATTATGAATAGTTTTTAAGTGTTATTCAGGGTGATGAAGAAGTTTCTATTGCTATCCATTGGCCAGACCTAACCATAAGCCAAATCTAACCAATAAAGCAAAGAATCTCATTGATAAGTCAAACCTGACCAAAAAAGCAAAGAATCTCATTGATGAGTCCCTGTAGTTCAGCCTCCAGGACTTAGAGCAGGACTTAGAGAAGGCAGAGAATGGCACGGGAGAAGCACACAGGAGCTATCCATCAGGGCTGAAAACATGGAGCGCGAGGGATGTGTTGGTGGCTGTGTAATCACATACAGTGTTGTAAGCCAAGGTTACCTCAATAAAAATAAAATAATTAACATTAAAAAAGATAGGGAAATGGAAGTTTCATCTACTTTCTAACTTTAATTTTTTAAATGTATCCTATAAAACTGAGTGCCAATTCTTAAGATTTGGAATGAGTCATGGCCCTTAAGATTTATGGAACAACCGTTGTCATCAGTATTTGTATTACTGGCTTTTATGGATGCTCGAAGTGATCTCAGCATCCTATGCTGTTTCACAATGATAAAGTGACTACCATCCCTTTGCATCTGGCATCTTCTTACAAAAGTTTTTCTAGTTAATCAATTTTAAAATTATGGTAAGACTATTTTACAAAGGTATTGCAGGATTAAATTAACATGGCAAAGTACATACTACACACAACAGTTACTACCCTTCCCCTTTAAATAATTCTGTCATTTGAATTGCTCTTATATTGCTATTTAAACAGTTAAGATCCATCAGTAAAGAGAAATGGTTGAATTTAGATCAAAGATTGAGTAAATATCCTTCGTACTCCTTGCTAAGTGCCTTTGTGTGCCTGGAAGGGCTGGTTTGTGGTCTTCATTCTTTGTTCTCATGGCCCCAAACCATAGTTATACTGTTGTTCTAAGTGCTGATCTGCATACATGAGTTTTCATTTTAATATCAAATGGATACACATCTGTAGTCATGGGTGCTTTACTTTCGTATTTCTTATGCAGCAACTATAATCCATAAAAGGAATTTTGCTTTAGGAAAGTAACTCCACTGAACCATTCATGAATTATCTTTACGGTATCATTTACCTGAGTGAGTAAGCTAAAAGTCACAAAATGGTCCATTTAACAGCTTTTTTTTTTTAAGATTTATTTATTTATGCATACAGAACTGGGGTACAGGCCAGAGATACAAGGGCGGTGAGAGGATTCACCAGAGACAGAGTGGGGAGCAGAACAGGCCAGCTGATGAAGTACACTGTAGAGGGGAGCAGAGGGCAAGTCAGGAGAGGTCTGCCGCGCCATGTGGTCACCTCCGGGGCGGGCGGGGATTGGACTCATGCTGAAGTGGCTTTAGCTTCCTAGTGCTGTGCTTTAATCGTACTTCGACGATCTGCCTGTTCTGCTCCCCACTCTGTCTCTGGTGAATCCTCCCACTGCCTCTGCACCTCTGGCCTGTACCCTGTAAAAATTTTTGTAAATTAAAAACATTTATATATATATATATATATATATATATAGATATAGATATAGATATAGATATATATTGAGGTAACATTGGCTTGCAGCACTAGGTGTGATCACACCCTTCAGTGGATGTTACCACACCACATGCACCACCAGAAACCCATAGTCCACCGTAGCCACGTAGCCACGTGGCCACCTCCTTCGTGCTTCTTGGCAGCTTCAATTCTAAATTAGCTTTTAGACTTTGTTTTTGGCTTGATTTTGCCATTGTTTCTCTATATTCTTCATATCAGTTACACCTTATGTATTTTTATGTATTTCAACTCAGTGCTATTTGACCTAAAGTCAAGGATTTATATAAGTTATGTTAAAGAAGTACTCTGTGATTTCTCAGACTTTTACAATGAAAAGACCGTGATGATGAAATGCAAACATTTCACATATATGCACACATATTCCTGGATATACAGGTGCCTGAATATACATACTTATTCATATTTTCAAACATGTCTTCATGTTATGAATTAGAAAATCATGCTGTCTCCTAGTTTATTTAGTTGCTATATGATTTATCATGTTGATAAATGGCCTAAAATTACTCAATGTTTGGAATAGCTTAAAGATCACTGTTTTTCTTAGGAGCTTAGTCATTTCTATAGTCTGGTTTCAGACTTGTTAGCACTTGCCTGTGCTACCTTTTTTACACAAACTTCCTAGTCAAAGGCATACTTCCTTACTTCTTTATTCACTTTTCCAATATCAAACATATTGATTTTATGACCATAGACTTTATTCCCAGTCTATTAACTTTTTTTTCTAAAATCATTAAAATTTAAGACATACTTCATATCTCTACTTTTATTTTCAGCTCTTATAGACCTCCCTACACTGGACTCTTTTGCAGCAGTGTTTTGATAATACTGAATCTATACCAATACTTGGTCAACTAAGTCTAACCTTATGATCTTTCTTTTGTTATCACTTTTAACTATTAATTGCTTTTGTATTTTTGTTGCTGTATATGTTCCTATCACTTCTAAAAAAGTATATTTTCTGCATACTTCAGTTGAAATGCTAATTATGGTGCCTACATGCAGTGCCAGCTCAGTGACATTTATTGGTGTGAATTGATGTTCTCACATTTTGAGAGAGTCTCAATGAAGAAAATCACCTTAATCTTTCAGTCAACACTTACAGACAATGGAAATATATGCTTTCAATGATATCATTTTTATGTTTGTTTGAATATAAATTTCTATGGGTCATTCTAAAACTGATTTGTGTCCGTTTCCTATGGTAACTCAAACAATACCTTCTAGCCTATAAATATACTTGAAGAAAACTTTGTGATATAACTGTAAAAATCTGTGCAAAATGCATACATGGAAATATTTATTCCTGGCTCTTCTAAATTATCATGTTGCCCTGAAAAGTTTGAACTAAATTATCTTTATACTAGCAAAAGTAATTTTCCAGATAAGTCCTTCTTAAATTTTTAGCATCAGAGTTAGGTTAAAATGTGCAAATAGGGTATGGTATATAGACCATAAATAAATCAGAGAAAAACAGAGTAGTTCTCTTTGAATTTGAACACCAGAAAGTTCTAATTTCTCATTGCTGTCTTCGACATATATCTGAAGAACCTTAAGGCTCTAAGAAACAGGATCAATGATGCAACCAGGTTATAGAAGAAATGTAGATCAATGTCATAATTATTTAGTGGTTTTGAAATGATCCAAAAGTCTCAACAAAGTGGTACAATAAATTAACGATCTGATACATTTCTTCTGTTCCAAACATATATCAATGCTAGATAGAAGAGATAGCATAAGTATATATAAAGACCAGGAGTCGTGATATTGACGTGGAATGAAATTTCATTTGTACTAGAGAAAGGAGATCACATCTTCAACCCAGGACCTTCTAGGTCCTCAAGCAAATATGAAAACAGGAACTCATGTGATAGCCTGGTATACAGGCTTCTTGTTCAATTATAACTTAAAGAAGTAATCTAAATCAAGACTTGCTGTTTCAACATACTGGTCTCCTAAGAGACCTAAGAATGAGAGAGAAGAAAACAAGTATACATTTTCAAGAGTAATGGTAGAATCTCAGGGAGTTTGAGTACTTTGAGAAACTAGATTGCCTTTGAACAGGAAGTGTCCCTAATGGGGACCAATAAAGGTATTTTTCTGAAACAGCCAATCTTATGAATGGTAGCATCCCCATTAATGTTTGTTCCTGGAATCACACCAAACTCTGTTTATGCTCCCACCAGGAGATTTTAGGATGGTCAAATAAGTAACTATAACACATTAACGCAGTGTGGTAATAGCCCATAGTCATGGTACATTGGCTGCAATGATATACACCATCACCCAGATCTATCAATGACCCAATGACTGCTCATGACTCATAACCACTTGGAAGTGGACAAACATTCAGATTACAATTCCAGTCAGTTCAATTGCACATAATATCAGGATAATAAGGGAAACGATAAACCAAAGAAAAATTTGCTATGATGTCAAAGTGCACTCCTTTCTAAAATTAATCCTAGTATATACAATGTATTTTATTACATACACAATATCATCTAATGTGCAGCTGAATGATAAGATTTAACAAGTTTCTTTTTGAAGTTGAAGAAGCCTTTTTTTTTTTTTTTAAGATTTATTTATTTATTCATACAGAACTGGTGTACAGGCCAGAGGCTCAGGGGCGGTGAGAGGCTTCACCAGAGACAGAGTGGGGAGCAGAACAGGCAGATCGACGAAGTACACTGCTGAGGGGAGCAGCGGGCGGGTCAGGAGAGGTCTGGCTCGCCATGTGGTCTCCTCCGGGGCAGGCGGCAGGCGGGAATCGAACTCATACGGAAGTGGCTTCAGATTCTCAGTGCTGTGCTTTAACCCGCTGCGCCACCAGGGAGGGCCTGAAGAAGCCTTTTTAAAAAAAAAAAAAAAAATTTAAGATTTTATTTTATTTATGCATACAGAACTGGGGTACAGGCCAGAGGTGCAGGGGCGGTGAGAGAGTGGGGAGCAGAACAGGTAGATCAACGAAGCGCACTGCTGAGAGGAGCAGCGGGTGGGTCAGGAGAGGTCTGCTGCACCATGTGGGTCACCTCCTGGGCAGGGGGGATATAACACACTGTCTATTTCATTAGAAAAAAAAAAAGACCAGCCTGTAGCCATAATCATTATTCTTTATTCCAGCCAATGAGAGCTGTTCTGATGGAGCTCTGCTGTGTTCCTCCTCCAACAGCTGCATCTCGCTTCGCCAGCGCTGTGATGGTTTGACCGACTGCGTGGATTTCCAGCTCGATGAGTCAAGCTGCTCAGGTATTCCATTTCTGCTTCCATTTCTAGTCAGATATTCTCTGCAGTAAAAGTCAGTAACTAAACCTGCATACCCTAAAAATATTAACACTTGAAATTCTAAATAATGGCAAGGCTGGAATAATTAATTTTCTATTATTGGTTAGGGAGCAAGGAGATTGTTAAATTAATTGCTAGATACATAACAAAATTTACATATGTATGACAGTGAACTCATGACTATTCTATATGGACATATTCATGAAATAAAAAAAATTAAACACTGAAATTTAAAATATTACTAAAGTTTATCATTAGTATTTTAATAATTTCTTCTATACAAATTGTGTGTTTACTATCAAAAGGCAACCTCATATAAGTTAGTATGTTATTAATTTTTTAATTACAGTTTTTCCACATTTTTTCATGAGTTTCCTACTTACATTATCTAGTTATGTTTAAAATTCAATTTATTAAACTTTATACTATTCAACATTTTTCTTCTGATCCTAGGATACTTATAAGAACTGATAATCTATACTTGTGATTATGCTTTTATCAAAACTACTTTACATTCTCTAACTTATTATAGTATATTTTAATATCTCTCTAAAAATGTTTCATAAAGAGACATAAATATTAGTTAGAGCAATATAAATCTGTCACAAGTAAAAGATAGTACAAATCAATGAAAAAAGAAATATCCAACCACATTTTCTAAATAAGTTAAATAAAATTCATATCAAGACTAGGTGAGAATATGTTCTTTATATATCTATATATATATAGAGAGAGAGAGAGAAAGAGAGAGAGAGAGAAAGATCATTCCAAGATACTACAATCAAATAATAATGAAAATAATAATTTTATGCTACTGAAAGTAACTATTCAGATAGCACTGGGTTTCATAGTACAAAAGAAAATCAAGAACAGAGAAAATCTGGTCCCATAAGGTATACAAAGATGAATTCTTTTTCATATTATATTATTCTACTACACATGCTTATGTATCAGATAAGATAGCCCAAATGAAATAATCTTACTTTCCTTTTAAAATGTAGAAAACTATTCATGATATAGTTACATTATATGAAACTACAAATATGTAATAACTATATGTGGTACCAAAATTCATTTACATAAAAATAAAATTTTCTTCAGAATGATTCTATATGAGAACAAATACATTGTAACTATTAAGATAGTGGAATACCTGCCATTCATACTAAACCATACAAACATTATTGTTGACCCAACTAGTTAATCACTCAGAAATAAGGTACAGTTCACATACAAAGAATGTCTCATATTTACACAGCTCTTGAGTTAGTTAAATAAAGAACAGTGGAGCTTTCAGAAATAAAATACATATTCTATTATGTGCCCCTATTAGTGTTTTATGAGCTTTTTGGTTTGTCAATCAAATATGATTAAGTCAGTGCTTCTGATTTTAAGGAACTTTTTAATCCTAGTCCATGCTAATATATGTAAATACATAATACATCTTCCTCTTTATTCCCAGATGACATATTCCTTTAAGGTCAGCATTTCATAGGCTTGTATGAACCTCATCCTTCCAGCATCCAATAATTCCCCCAGTAGTCACACAACAGATGACGAGCATCTGGCCTCTCTTCACCTGGAGGCTTAAGTCATTAACAAAACATCATTCTCAGAAACTGCATAAGTGTTGCAGGTTAAGTATGTTTTAATGAGTCCTGTCCATTCCCACATTACATTAAAAAGGCATATTATTTCAAGTTTTGGTTGCTTAAACAATAGAAATTTTTGACCAGAGATTGTGTAGCTTAATTGAAGCTGAAAATCTTTTTCCTGTAGTAAAGGCTAATAAAGGTTGTGTCAGCATGATAGTGTAGCTATTATAATCATCCATTTGAAGGAAAATTAGGGAAAATTCACTAACATAAAAAATTATAGACTGGGATGTTGAGATTTAATATAATATCAAAAACAATATTAAATTGCAGAGTATTTTTAAAACAAATGAAGCAAAATGCAAAAACTTCTCCGGCAAGCATTCTTGAACTATTTCAAGTTTCTAATTCATGATTAATCTCTCCTACAGTCCCTATGCTGGGATTTCAAACAACCTGAACAGTTCTTGTCTCTGGTAACTTGGTTTGTGGCACCAGCTTTCTGGGGGACACGTAGAATCAATATAACCCCAGAAACTGCATGTACTTTATTGTGCATGTGTCTCATTTTCCATAACAGTGCCCAAATACCATGGGATTCCAAGGGCTTCATGGTCCCCTCATATCGAGAACTGTAAGAGGTTATAGAAATCATGAACTAAACAGCAGAATGCTTGACATGTTAGGCTAACAGACTTTGCAGTCAAAGGAACAGGATTTAGTTGCATATGTTATCCACTTGAGTAAGTTCTATTCTATTTTCTCTTCTTTACAATGAAGATAAGAATGGGATATTCCACATTCTATGAGAATTAAGTGAAATAACACAGGGGAAACCTTTAGCACAGTCCTTTACTCAGAGCAGTGAATAGTAGTGGTAGTGGTGACCATAATGCTTGAAGAAGAAAGAAGAGAAGGAAAAGGTGGAAAGTGCTGTGGTAATGGGACTTAGGTTTCATAGGCAATTCAGACAATACTCAAATATCAACAGACAGGTGAGAGTAATTATCTAACATTTTATTACACCATTCACTAATATAGAAAATTTCTAAATATATCCAAATTTATACTCCCAGGAGCCTTATAGAGAAGGGCTATTAATCCTCATTTTAAACATGAAGAAACTTGTATTAGACTAGCTGCTCCTAAGCCAGACAATTCATCAGTGATGAGTCAGCTGTTACAGAGGAGAGACCAAGGCTCACACGATTATCAGTCTTTGTAACATCTGCCACATAACAGTTGTCCCTGCTTTCGTCTTTACAGACATTGAGAGAGAACGTTTAGATTGTTTGCTGAAGCTATATGATCTGGCTCCAATGTATCTCTGACCTATCATATTTTCTTCATATTGTCAGCAATCCAACCAGACTGAATTCCCTTCAATCCCTTAACCATACTGTAGTCTCAGGATTTTATGCTTTTATGGTTACCTTTACACATAAAACACACACACACACAGTCAACATTTCTTCTTACTCCCATATTTGTCTGGGGTGCTCTCCTGGGTACTTCCATCATCCTTAGTACATCTATCCCAAGTTGGATCATTTTTCATGTGATATTTTAATGCATCCTCCATAAAGCTGGAAGATCAATGAGCCAAGTGCTCTAAGACTCAACAACCTTATGAGAGTGGTACTATTTTTAACTCTGCTTGACAAAGAATAAGCTGAGGCACAGAGAGATTAACTACCTTGACCTAAAATACACAGCTAATAAATTGAGATTCCTACTCAAATAATCTGGCCCCAGAGCTGCAGCCTTGACACTTATGTAAACTGTCTGGATTATTTATCATTTCATATCCAATACCTCATCCAGTGCCAGACAATGAGTAATTGCTTCACATAGACCTGTTGAAATACAAATTAAAGGTAGTAGATGTTCCCATCTCTACTGTGGAAGTTATGATAGTTCAGTCAGGGAGGACTAGTATTCTGCAAGAAAGTGTTGACAAAGTCAAGAAGAACAATTTGGGACTAAATTAAATGAGTAAGAAAATTGTCAGGCAACATAGATTAGGATTGTTTAGTAAGGACAGAAGGAGAAATACACAAGGAAACACCACAAAGAATTATAAACTTGCTAAAAACTTCGACATTCATAACTACATGAAAATATTTAGCTTCCACTGAACAAATTCTTTTCCAAAGAAATGTTCATGCTAAGCTCATACTAGGAAATAACACAAGCAGTTAAAAAAAAAAAAAAGGTATGGGCAAGAAGGAACATTTTTAAGCTGATAACTGATATACCTACAGAGCTAGGACCTGTAGTGCACAGGAATGGCATTTTATCCGAAAGACAAGGCTGCCCATGCAAAGTGTTTCTCTATCACGAGATAGTGACTACTGTGTGGAAGTGAAGGAGATAGATGTTACAGTAAAGGAAAATCTTCAGAATAATCACAAATATGTTATGCAGACAATTCTAAACAGAGTGTCTTAATCCAGGGGAAAAGAAAATCTTCCCATATGGTGAACTTCTTGGGCATGTGAAATAGGGAGTACGGCCAGGGCAGCAGGTGTCTGCTGAGAAAATCTGGGGGTGCAGTAGACTAGGAGAATTCTTATACTTTTAGCAACTAGGAAAAAAATGTACTCTTAATGATTAGATATTATACCATGATTATCAGTAACAGGTCCTCTAATCCTAATGATATTTATAATTAACTGAGGGCTTTGTGATAATAATTTTTTTTCAGAGTGTCCAGTAGGTTACTGCAGAAATGGTGGGACTTGCATAGTGGAGAAAAATGGTCCTATATGTCGGTAAGGAGATTATTTATCATTTTTTAAAAAACTGATTTGCTAATGGATTCCTTTTTATAAGTTAATATAATGAACTATCAATTACTATATATTTGTTAAAGTAAAAATAGTAAATAATGACAATATTTGAACAAAAGGAAAATGGAAGTGTACTTTAGAAAGGTATTAATTATTTAACATAATTTTACATTTTTAAATGTATTTTATACTGTATGGAGTATATAACTTTCTGCATTTTGTATTGTATGGAGTATATAACTTTAATAACACTCATTATTCCTTCTTTTTAATATTTATATCTGGTTATGAAAAGTTTTTATATGAGTATCTTCCTATTTCAGATGAACTTAGTTTCTGTATTTCCTTTCTCCCTGTTTATTTCAAAGTCCATATTTTTCCTTTAGACAACAAAGGATGGAATTAATTCATAAATAACACCTTTTTCTGCTTAATGCAATGGATGTTTATGAAAGGTACAGATAAGGAATACATTTACATGCTTAAAGCAAGAATAAACAAAACCAGGCTTTTGCTTTCTTTTGGGAGTTATTTATATTGCATATCAAAGATTGCTTGATTTTTTTCTCACTCTTTAGGGAATTGTGCAAAGCAGTTTCGTAAATTCCAAAGGAAATGATGCATATTCGATTATATTTGTGTTTATGACTTTTTAATCTAACAGACTGATGGTATATCACTGTTTGTTAAAGAAGTGACTGCAGGCTAAAACTCAAGTCCTAACAAAAAAACAAAAGTGTATACAAAATATTCATTAATAGTTATTTAAATCATTACATCCTGCTGAGGTAACAATTATTTTAAGAAAACTAATTTATCCCTAAAAAAAAGTAAAGACTTTAAACAAGTTATAGGATGATACACATTTAGCTATTGTTTTAATGTTGTTGAAATTGAATTACTAATAGCTTTTCAAAGTGATTTGCCTCTCAAATTCATTACATAATTTATCTCACATCACAACAGAGGTATAATTTTTGTCAATGTCAGTGGGTTTTTATTTATAATAAACTATAATTTGATGGAAAGATGGACTGCCTAATATTAACTTACAACATCTCCTGAAATAAGCTGACAATGATGCCATAATTAACATTTATTGAAATTAGGTGAGTGAATAATGTTAGGTAATATCAACTGTTTTCAGAAAGGAGATTTGAACTTTTGCCCTCAATAATCCGGCTAGTATGCTGGACCCCAGGCCTAAAACAGGCTCAGCTGAGCAAGCAGAGAAGTTTGTGTTCTTGGCAACATCTTCTTGTACTTATGTAAACTTCTAAAAGTTGAAATCCAGATGGTGATGTTCAAAACTTGTTTCTCTCAAATGAGAAAACTCTTAACTTGGGGGTTGAAATGTGGCAGGAAGATGAAGAAAGGAATAAAGAAAGAAATCAGCACAGCACAATGTGGAAAGCAGGTACAGAAAAATCATGGAATATTTTATTATATTAATTTTGATATTAAATAATACTTTTCAAATAAATGAATAGCTGTCATTGTGATTGATAAAAAACAAATGTTTTCTATAGTAGTTGTGAAAAAAGCTTATTATTTTTTACTTTATTACATAGTATTCTCTTAATTCAAACTTTTATTGCTTTAAAATTGTGAACTACAAATGTAATATACAATTGTATTTTAATAATTTGTAAAGTATACAATAGTGTATGCAGCAAAAAGTAGAAATTCCCAATATTCAAATCACACTCTACAGTAATATATTTTACACCCACTTAAATATGCCTTTTCCACTCACACATGGGTACAGACGCAGACTTCTATTTCTTACAGAAGGTGTCCCCAAGTCTTTGGATTTCTTCTTGGGATCTCTAGATACCTTGATAAAGTACCTTCATATTGTACCTGTAAACCCAGAGAAAAGACACTCCATAAGAAAGTCATCTGGATGTTTAAAGTATCCATAAGAATAGAAATGGCTAGGTGAAGCATGGTTTTTTATATTTAAGAAATACTTAACTTGACATGCTTGATGCCTAAGAAGCAAACTTTGAGGTAAAGGAGGCAAATCATTCCTCACCTAAGTTTTGATTTTTTTTGTTATATATACATAGTGTATATAACACACACTGTTCACTTTGTCTAGAGTTCATATTTTCTACAATATTTGTCAGAATAACTAATCTCCTGTATGTAGGATAGTGAGGCTATGGAAAAAGAAAATATCACTCTGCTTTACTACATTAACAGAAGATGGTGCTCTTAATCTAGGAATTTTTAAAACTATCTCAGATCTTTACCCCTACGTTTGAAATGAAGAGACAAATGTGGTTTTCTTTTCTACAAAAAGCCACTGTTTAAAATAAAGTTCAGGGCCCTCCCTGGTGGCACAGTGGGTTAAAGCACAGCATTAAGAAGTTAAAGCCACTTCAGCATGAGTTCAATCCCCAGCCCAGGAGGTGATCCACATGGCGAGGCAGACCTCTCCTGACCCGCACGCTGCTCCCCTCAGCAGTGTATTTCATCGATCTGTGTGTTCTGCTCCCCACTCTGTCTCTGGTGAAGCCTGTCACTGCCCCTGCACCTCAGGCCTGTACCTCAGTTCTGTATGCATAAATAAATCTTTCAAATATTTAAATAAAGTTCAGTTTATAAACATTCTTCTTCTTCCCCTCCGCTCAGGGAAAGTAAAAAAGAAAGTGCTCTAAGACCCCAACTCCAAACTAAATTAAGTATTTTCCAAATAAAAGTATTTAGTGATATGAAAATAAAACAACCCTTAACTAAGAAAGTCAAAGTACAAATAAACAACAAAACAATAATAATGAAATAAGTATTGATTGGTCCCGAAAAAACAAATGCAATTTCAAAAGGAAAGAAAAATAAAGTACAGTGTTCCCGAGGAAGGAAAATTCAAATTAAATTTATTAAGGAATTTTGGCAAATGCAGAAAAATAAATAAGAAAATGAAAATGGGATGAAGTAAAAAGAAGCAAAGAAGCCAAAGTAGAAGATAAAAAACATGCGTATAAATGGAGTCCCTTAAGAGGAAAACAAATACTGGAATACAACAATATTTAAAATCATAAACCAAAAATACTTTTTCAGAAAAGACAGAAGACCTGACCTTAATTTACATATTGCATAGGCCAAAAGTTATCTTGAAAATTTTACAACAAAACCAAGAACTTTTGAGACATATTATAGTAATAATGTGATACTTAAAAAAAAAAAAATCCTGTGGCTTCTAGGAGACAAAAACAACGTATAAGGACAAGGGGTTATTCTGACATTAGATTTCCAAAAACTAAGAAATCTATTGTGATTGTCAATAGGCTTGTAAAAGCCTTTGCCAAAGTTCAGTGTTTATTTCTGAGTTTTTAAAGATCACAGGAAAATATAAATTGGTATATGTTGTTTTTACCCCTAGAGACAATGATAGTGTATTTTAAACAGCAGTTTTATATTTTAGGAATATATCATTCTGTTCTCTTTTGATCACGAGGGTTTCTGCTATTCACAATTCTAAATAGAATATTCAGGAATATGTGTCATAAATTTCAAAATTATATTATAAAAAATACAATAAAAAAAAACCTGAAATAGAAGAAAGACATTTCCTTTTCTTGGATAGCTGATAGGGCATCCTAAGAATCTTGGTTCTGCCTAGGTTAATCTATGAATTTAACACAACCTATAAAAATACCCACAAGGTTTTTAGAAGTGTAGAAGATTTTATATTAATGTTCATATAAAAAAGCAAACAGAAAATCAGGTAAGTAAACACTGAGCAAGTTCTAAATGGTTAAGTAAACTTATTAGTATGAATATAATGAAGCCTTTATTAAATCAATGTAGTATAGGCACTCAAAGAAACAGACATTTCATACTGGTAGAATGGAGTAGAAAGTCTAGAAAAATGTCTAGTACATATGAAAATAATAAAGATGGCATCTCAAAGCTCAGATCAGAGATGGACTTTTTAAAGAGAAGTGTTGAGACTGCTAGTTAGGTATTTGAAGGGAAGAAAAAGATGCAAATAGACCATAATAAATGCATTAAGTACAAATATAAGCTTCATGTGGATCAGAATTCAAAGTGAAACCATCTCATACTAGAAAAAATATGCAGTGAATTCTGTATAATTTGGATATAGGGAAAAAGTTTCAAAGGTTCAAAGACAATAATGGTAAATTTGATTACATAAAAGTTTGATTTAAAAAATGTTTTGTATGGCACAGAAAAATACCAGCAACAGGATTAAAAGACAATTGGCAATCTGAGAGAAAATCTTAATGTTTTATAGTTCAGAAAAAGGAAAAAAAAATATCCTTAATATTTATTATACTTCTTCTCAGAATTACTTTAAAATATGAGAGCCCAAATATTGTATTAGAAAATAAAATATATATGATGATGTTTAAATATGAAAAAAATCAATTCCATTCTTTAAAGCAAGGCAAATTAAAGCCATGCTATTATGCTATTTACCATCTCTCCAATAAACAATATAATTTGTTGGCAAATGTGTAAAGGAAGAGGCACTTTGCCAGTGGAAATGCAAATTGGTATTACTCCTGTGGAGGTGAACTTGGCACTATCTAGCAAAACTACATATTCATTTACTTTTTGACCCTTTCTAGAATGTATTCTGCTGGTAGAACTCCAACTCTATAAAAATAGATGCCCATAGGGTTGCTCACTATAACATCTTCATAATTTCAAAATACTGGATACATACTAAGAGCTGGTTGAATATACCATGCCACATTCCCACAATGCTGAACCACTAGAATGCGGAACAGTTCAGGAATGTCCCTCCAGCCAGGTATAGGCATGCTTTTCCTTGGGTCAGGATTAAGGATATTTAATAAATGTAGTTATAGTCACTGAAACTATTTTATAGCTTTTTAACCTGTTAAACATTAAAATCTGTAGAGTGCTATGGATAATTATATGTCAGGTTCTTTTCAATTATTCAGCATAAATCTATACAGTAGATGATTGTATCATATATCTAATAT